TAGGGGTACAAACACAAACATATATAACACAAACACATATATAACAGCAATTAAAGAAAAAGAGGGCAGGAATTTGAAAGAGCAAGTTGTGGGTAACATGGGAGGGTTTGGAGGAAGGAAGAAGGGGAAAATAGTATAATTATTTTAAAAATGTTTATTTTTAAAAGATAAATGTAACAAAAATAAAGTGAACAGATGGACCTACATATCAAGGCAATATGGTAAGTAAACAAGCCATAGGAAAGACAGTAAGATACACTAAACAAAACAAAATATACATATGGGAAATTCTAGAGGGAAAACAACCCAATTCCTGTAATTACATTACAAAGAATTAAAAGAGAAAGCAGAGGAGACAGAGTAACCTATAAATTAAAGGACACTTAAATCAGCAAAAAACTGTAACATACAGATCAGATATGATTCAAATTACCTCTAAGGGGAAAAATAAACTAGGAGATAGTCTGTGATTGTGACTGGATATTTGATGATAAAACAGTTATTGGCAAGTTATTTGGGAGTGATGATTAATTTTTTAAGTGACTTTTCCTTTCAGAAAGTTTTATAGAGTGAAACATACACTGTATGAACCAATGAAATGACATTATGTCTACAGTCTACCTCAAAATAATGGTAAGACTTTATAAATAATTTTATAATGGAATTATAAATTTAAAAAAATCAGTTCCAAGTTCTAAGATCTATGTCAACTATGAATCATTGTTGAAGCTGGTTTACAGGACACTGGAATCCACTACAACATTCTGTCCTTAGCAAAAATCTACAAGGAAGAATTAACCATTATTTCTACAGTTAAATCATCCTTTTTCTATCCAAGAAAAATAATTCCTAAAGCACTGATTGTCTCTATTATGTAGATGTCTTGTACAAACAATGCTTGACATTTACCACACCAAAAAAAAACATGCTTGTGTCTTTTGGGACATCTTCTATCCCAGCAGCAGACATGCTTTGCTAACAGAAAAGCCCATCTATATCCATGGTTTGGTCTCCAAAGTGTGTTACACATGGTCACCTATAGTCTAAAAAAATATTAAATAGAAAACTCCAGAAATAACCGGTGCATTAAATTTCAAACTGTATGCCATTCTGAGTAGCTTAGCAACATCTTATGCAATCCTGCTCTGTTGGCTTGCAAGATTCATCCCTTTGTCTAGCATATCCGTGTTGCACACGTTACCTGCCTCCCAGTCACTCAATGGCCCTCTCAGTTCCCAGGTCAGCCATCATATCACAAAGTCTATATTAAATAGCCCTAATTTTATTTAACAGCAGCCCCGTTCAAGAATGGTGATGCTGGCAAATGGAGTATGCCTAAGAGAAATTTTTATAAAATTCTTCCTTTGAACAAAAATGCAGTTCTTAACTTAATAACAGAAAACAAATTATATTGAAATTGCTAAAAATCTATAGTAACTATGAATCCTGTATCTGTAAAATTATAAATGAAAAATATGTACTATGTACATATGAAGGACTATGTACATTTACATAGTCTTTCATACTTATAGGCTAGTTCAAATTCACTAACTGTATTCACTTATAAAACACAAAACTTCAGGGTGCTGGAGAGATGGCTCAGCCGTTAAGAGTACTGACTGTTCTTCTAGAGGTCCTGAGTTGAATTCCTAGCACCCACATGGTAGCTCACAACCATCTGTAATAAAATCTGACTACCTCCTCTGGTGTGTATGAAAAACAGAGTGTTTATATACATGAAATAAATTAACAAATTAAAAAAAAAACACACAAAACTTCAGTAACATCTATTATCAGAATTTGGAGACTCCAAATTCACAGTCTCCAGTGGCAAAATTACTATAACTTCTTACTACATTTGTCTCTTCAAAACAAATATAGTAACAATTTCTCTCTCTAGTTTAAAATAAGTGCATTTCTGTGTTTTCATGCCAATCTGTATTTTCATTCCTTTTTTCTCAGGGTCCTAGGACTGTACAGTTAGTTCTATAGCCCCACCTTTCCTTCTCATGTCCCACAATTTTAACGAACGAGAGCTGATGAGGCATCTCAATAGGTAATCACTCTGAAGACTGTGCTGGATTCCCAGAACCCACAAGGTACAGCAGAGAACTAACTCTTCCTTGTAAGCTGTCCTCTGGCCTCCGCAAATGTGCCATGGTATTCACATGCCCAAACCTGTGCACATGCACACACATACACGCATGTGCACATGTACATAAATAAAAAAAACTAAAGACGTAATTTTTAATAATAAAAATGTATAAATATATAAACCCTATCTTTCCTTCTACCTTTTCTAACCACAGCCTGCCTTTATTAACCCTCTCTTATACAAACCGTCTTTCTAATTCTCATCATGCAAAAGGAAAAAGGCAGCCCAGCCCCCACACTGTACTCCTCCTCCAGTACCACTTCATGTCCATCTTCTATTATCCAGCTACTTCCTCTTTAGCTCCACAGCAGTAGCAACTTCTCCTCTTTCTGAGAGCCACCCGTTCCCATTTCAAGTTCTTTCATAAAGCCAGTGCCCAGTTTACATTTTCACAAATTATCTATAGACTGCCATTAGCTTTACTGTCTCTGCGTATCCTTAAACACACCTGTTACAAAATAAAAACAAATTTTCCCTTCAGTATGTAAAATATAAAACAACATTTTAGATTTAAAACCAAGGTACCAAATAGAAAAACTCAGAAAAAACAAAAAAACAAAAAACCTCAAAACCTAATAAGAAAGGAGTATTTGGGTCTCTGTCACTGTAGACTACCAAATATCAAAGAATGGACTCCTTCAAAGTGAATTCAATATAAGCTTATATAACTTTAATTTTGAATGAACGCTACTTTAAAGTGATCTTTATTTTTTTTATTGCTGATGTGTTGTTGGCTTAATGAATTCCAGTCTCTAAGCTCCAGATTCCTGATGAGTCAGACAATTAATTACAGCTTGGGTACCGAGTCATATAAAGACCATCTCCCACATATGTGTATTAACTAATGAACAGTGTTCTGATTAGTAAAATACAAAGTCTTGTAAGAGTATCAGCAGCTTTTTACTAATTTTCTCAGTTACCAGATACTAAAAATATAACTATGGTCATAGTGGAATCAACCAACTGTTTTAAAGGGATTGCATTTTCCAAATAACTGCTAACAGAAAGTATCCCCACAGCAATCATCCTTTCCACACTGTTAGTTTCCACTTCCCTCTTCCCAATTCACTTGTACTTTCCCAAGAAAATCATACACAAGCTTTTATTGTTCCCTCATCAACTTCAACCCACCACACTGTATAACTTTTCTTCTCTACCTCTATAAATATTAAAAGATTTAGCAGTTAACTTGTAAGACTAATTTAATAACAAATAGAGCCAATCTCATATTACAAAACTTCCTGAACAAACAGGTTTAATCTCTGGAAGTTTCTTCCCTTCTACCTAGAAACATTATTTCTCCCTTATTCTGAATTTTGATTCTGCTGTATAACTACTTTCCTTTTTTATTATTGTTGTTGTTGTCCTTTTTATTATTACTCTGAGGCTCATCAAACTACAACCTGTGCTAGCCACCTGTTTTCTAAGTAAGATCTATTGGAACAGCCACCTCCAATATTATTTTTTTTTATGACAGGATCTCATGTATTTAAGGCTGGCCTCAAACTTGGTATACGACCATGGCTGACCTTGAACTCCTGACCCGCCTGCTTCTACCTCCCAACAACCAGGACTACAACTGTACTTTACCATAACTGGTTTATATGGTGTTGGAGATCAAACCCAGGCCTTCATATATGCTAGACATGTACTCTACCAAATGAGCTACATCTTTAGCCCCATTCCTTTAAGTATTATACATGGCAACTTTCCAACTAAAGGTTGAATAAGTTAAAAAGAATTATAGACCGGAAGCCTAAAATATTGCCTACCTAATTCCCTAAAAATAAATAAATAAATAGATAGATAGATAGATAGATAGATAGATAAATAAATAAATAGATAAATAGATAAATAAATAAATAAATGAGAAAGTTTGAGCCAGAGGTAATGAGGGTGCATACCTTTAATTCCAGCATTTGGGAGACAGAGGCAGGTGAATCTCTGAGTTTGAGGACAGCCTGGTCTGTAGAATGAATTCCAGGACAGCCAGAGCTACACAGAGAAATCCTGTCTCAAAAAACAAAAGGTTTGCCACTCCTCGGAGACCCAAGCATGATCTATATTTAATGTCATCATTTCTTCAGAAAACAGTAGGGAGGCACTGAAGGCTTTGAGACACCAGCAAAGTATCATGAGTCACAAAACATCTCACGACTCCTAGTGTGCAGAGCAGGTTAAAAGAAGACCAATTAGGAAAACAGCTGCATGAAACTTGCCATTAGGAGAAAAGGAAGGGAAATGAAGGGAACTTTTGAGAATGCCCAGTGATAACAATGTGACAGAAGGAGCAAAACTTCATCTTCGAGAATGCGGTGCTTGACATTTGTGTTTTCCTACAGTCTACTGCGGAATTTGAACCTGTCCTATCGCCTGTCTAACTGGATGTGGAGTTCCTGAAATATCAATCCCGTATCTTCTGTCATTAGTGCACTAGGCACTCTACACAGTTGTGACCTGGCCAAATCCTGGATAACCATGTAAGAGGAAGTTCCAACAGAGTTGGCCAAATAAGAACACAAAGCTAAGTAAGTGGAGTACTCACCTGTGCCAACAAACAGAGAAAAGAACTAAGGTTTCAGTCCAAAACAACTCAAGCCAAACATGAAGAAACGCTATGAACTTGCTAATAGTAGAAGCAGCTTCCTTGGTACTTTAATATACTCTTTATCATGTTCAGAAAAAGTACCACTAGAACAGCTTCTGATAGGAGGGTCTCATAAGAAACAAGAACAAAAAATAAGAAATTAAATGGATCAGACTCTGCAGGTCTTCTACCTAGGAAAGGAAGTCCTCCTTTAATAAAGACCTTAGTACTTTTCAAAATAGTCAACATGATACTAACCTTCAGCACCAGTGTTCTCACACCCCACAAGATTAAGAAGGATGCCACTGTCCTTATCATCTTCTTCACATCCCAGGAGCATCCAGCTTTCCACATTTTCATTCTCTGAGGTGGCACTTTCTTCCTCTTCATCTGAGCTGACCTCTATGATCATGACCTCTTGGCCCATACTTGATCTCTCTTCGGGCTTCTCACCAGCCCTCTTGAATTTCTTAGCTGCTTTATTAGAATGAGGAGAAGCAAGTCTTTGGGCCTTTTCTTGTGCTTGGACTTTGAGGTTTTTTCTTTTACATCTATAAATACTATCCTCATCAGATAATGTGATGACTTCTGGTGTATCTGATAGCTGGATAATCTCACTATCTGAAAGGACGATTAAGTTCTTCTGGTTTGGTTGAATACTCATTGTCTCTGAATTCCCACAGTTCTTTTCCTCATACCCTTCCTCCGTGCTGGCATTATGTATACTCTGGGCATAATGAATTTGGCTGTAGAGCTGAAATTCCACCTCACTATCAACACTTAGTTCACTAGATGAATCTTCTCGATAAAGATCATCTTCATATGCTTCTATGGTCTCATAGCCACCAAACATTATGGAAATTCAGTTACCTTAATGCTGTAAAAGAGAAAGTCATACAAGAATATATTTTAAAAGCTAAGATCTTGTTTAGTAAATACCTATCACCCCAGAGTTTACTTTTAAGGCTATCACTCTTCCAGACATATTAATTTTTTCCTTAAGAACACCATTTTCCCATGAATTTATAAATCTTGTTATCACTAGAGCAGTGGTTTCAACCTTCCTAATACAGTTCATCATGTTGTGGTGACCCCCAACCATAAAATTATTTCACTATTACTTCATAACTATAATTTTGCTACTGTTATAAATTGTAATGTAAATATCTGATATACAGGCTAGCTCATATGTGAGTTCTTCAACATCCAAAGGGGCCATGGCCCACAGCTTGAGAAGTGCGGCACTAGAATGACACTCAGACCTCGCAAGTAAGAATTACTACCAACAGACTGAACACATCAATGCAGACATCCTAAAGTTATACTAGAAAATGAAATAGTTTGAGACCCACTGCCAGACAGTGAACATTGCTCTCTAAAATATTATACTCCTCAAAGTATCGCTCCTTATTCCAGACATCTTTTTCTCCTCTTTTTCTTTTCTTTAAACAGAGTCTTGTTATATAAGACCAGGCTAACCTTAACCTTAAAGTGGTCCTCCTGCCTCAATCAACTGAATGCTGAAATTAAAATGTGCCAAGTTGCCTAGCTCTATTAATTTTTTTTTAAAAAAATAGTTTATTTATCATACTGCAAAGAGGACAGGCTGTAACTGAAGAGCCACCCGCTCCACCCACCTTCAGTCTTTTGTTCTGTATCCCTTCTTTTCAGGTTACCTTCTCACACAAGAACACTACCACAGTATGGCTAAAATCCCCAACAGAGAGCCTTTTTCACATTTACTGTTAGTGTATTTATTATTAATTTAAAAACAGATGGGGATGCAGCTCAGCAATAAAGTGCAAGCTTAGTATGTAAAATAACCCTGGGTTTGATCCCCAATACTGCAAATACAATTACTACTGCTACTATTAATAATAATAATAAAAATAATCTATCCTATGGCCTTCAGACCCTTGGCCAGAAGAACACCTAAAACACACTTACTAATATGTTTATTCCCATGTTAGTTATACAAATGCATTTGAAACACAAATTTTCCAAATACCTAACACTGAGACAAAAAAAATCACAGCTTTGGGAATATCTAAAAAAAACTTGCTGCTTGTGCATATATAAATAAAATCCATTGCACCTTTCAATTTAGCTTTTATAATACATCTTACCAGAAGGAATTAAGTACCCTATTTCAGAGGTTTCCATAGTGCTTTATAAAACACTCAGCACATTTCTAATTATTTATTTAATGTAAATGTCCCAGAAGTACTGATCAGAATCCCAGGAGGACAGGGACTTTGTCAACTCCGTCAAACAATACATTACAATATTCAAGCAGTATATTTGGAGATGTTTATAAATGTTTTAAAAACATGAATTCTATCATTAAGCCTTTGTTCTTTAACCCCCCTCAAAAGATCTAACACACGACAAAAATATAGAAATTGTGACAGGATAAGTTCTCAGTTGTCTTTTATTATTCCAAAGTGTTAAACAAAAATCTAGACAGCAGATGTTTCAATTATCTACCAAAGGAATGCTGATCAAAATAACAGCTCTGGGGAAATAAACCATGCTTTTCTACATGCCAGGAGCACCCTAGAAGTGACCAACTTATTCTTCCATTTCTAGCTTCACCAGTACAATTAAGAAAGAGTGGTTGTTTTCATAGGTTTGAGTTTCTGCAAGAACATCAAGGTGTTTTGTCTGATTTTCTAAGAGAACCAGCAGATCCCAAGAATCTAAGGACCAAAAATGTACTAAACTCAAGCTAGAGTTTGGGTCTTGTTTTACAGAAATAAAGGAATGATTTTGGTGTAATTCCAGCACTCCCAGATGTAAGTAAGAAGACACAGAGGTCATCCTCAGCTACACAGCAAATTCTAAGGTCAGCCTAATCTAGGAGACCCTCTTTAAAAAATAAATAAATAAACACAAAACCAAACCAAAAAAAAAAAGAACAAAACAAAATTACTGTCTCTTTTTCTTTCACAGGATGCAGTATCCTTGTTCCCTCCTTGTACTGTCTTTCAGGTTGCTATGCTGTTATTGTCAAACAAGTTGAATGTGGCTGTCTGAATAATAGTGCACATGACATTTATCGGTTTATATTGAAATGTTAGCCTCAGAGGAATTCAAATGAAAGATGAATTCTTTCCTTTTTTATTTAATAGGTAAATTAATTCAAAAGAAGTCAAAGGAATTATGCTTCCTTCAAAAATCCTTACTAGATCCATCCTGAGGATCCAGTGTGGACTTAAGATAAAACCTAATTCCAGGGCAGCACAGAAGGAAAAAAAAAAAAAAATTAAAGAGCTAAATTACAGAGTTACGAATTTGTACTACTCTTGGAGCCATCCCAAAGGAAAGGGATTAAGAACAGAGCCACAGGCACACCTGTGAATGTATGCCAGAAATAAACTACAGAGCCATAATAAAAACTGACTTCTTTGGGTCTAAGGATTTATCTCTTCCCATGAAATGTAGAAAAATGAATTTAACAATTTAGCCCCTATGGCTGTTAAGAGGATTTTGTGCCTTCTGTACTTGAAAATTGTGTTTTGGCATAACATGCCCTCTTCTATTTATGTAGCTCATGTATGCCAGGGTTAAGGTTTACTTCAAGCTGTTTTGGTTTGTTACAACTTTAATTATATTCAAATTCACTTAATTTTTTAAAAGTATACTCAGATGAGTGTGAGGTATGTATGCACGCGTGCAAATACACACAACTCAGAAGACTTTCTCAGCTTTTGCCGTTGTGATTCCCAAGCATACTTAACTAGCTAACACATGTCTCTGACAAACATTTAAATCTAGAAGGTATCTATCTACTGAATTATTTCACATAGCCCACTTTACATTAATATGAAGAAACAGGTCCACAGGCATAATGAGGCCTACTGAAGTCTGGATAGATGATTAAGAAAACAAGCTAGGATGATTCACATGTTCCTGACTCTAAGCCAAGCATCACTATAATTTTTAAATAAATAAATTCAAATAAATATTACTATATGTGCACAGGTTCTAACATCTAAATTTATCAGACACATTACCTATTTACTTTCTACAGGAAAAAAACCTGTAACAGACATTTTAATTAGAAGCAGAAGTAGACATTGAAATTTACAAATTTACTATTTAAGAACCTCCTTCTTCAAGTAGTACTCCAAAGCCCTGAGTGGTGGAGCACAGGGACACACAGTAATCCTGGGCAGAAAGATCAGGATTTCAAGGAAAAGTCTTGGCTACTAAGTAAATTCCAAGTCAGTGTGGGCTAAAGATCCTCTCAACCCTTTTGCAAGCCATCCCCCAAAAGTAAATAAAGAAAAGATTTTATCAAAGCACTGAGACTACAAAAGACTGACCATATTTACATATTAAAATGTAAACTATCAGATGTGAGAATGAAGCTTATCTAAAGAAATAACAAAACCACTCACTGTAAAAAAAAAAAAAAAGGGGGGGGGCATTCAGTTACTGAATTTCTTTAAGCTAGACAAAAGTTAGGTTTTCAGAATTTACCGAAACTTTAAAGCCAATATTTCTCCTTAGAAAATTACCTACTGGTCATTCTGGACATTTTGCTCTTGATTTCCTTCTGAAGTATATCTAGCTTGGCTCTTCCTTGTGGGTGCCATTGGTCATCTCAGGTAGACTTAAATCTAGAATTTGGTCTTACTCATTTTGTGGTGCTGGAGATTGTATCCAGGGTCCTAGGCATGCTAAGCCAGTACTCTACCAGGAGCTGAACACCAGCTCCACCGCAATGTTTACATCTACAGTGGTCAATGAATAAACTGATTAATAAATGGTTTATTCTCAACTTAGGTTTATGAGTTACAAGAACCTCAGTGTGCTACTGACAATGCCAATAGAAGCGAGACCAACCACAACAGTTAAAATTTCAGCCCATTTTTCAACGGTTACTGCCACCTCCAATCAAATGAGGTAAAGAATCCAAATTGGTCACATCAAAGAGAAAGAACAGCCATGTCTCTGTGGTAGAAAAGTATGCTGAATTTATTTATGTTAACTTCCAACTACTCTTGGGACTCTATCTGGAAACAATGCCTTTCCCTATTAGCTGCTGTTCTTTTCCCATGCACTGTTAACCTTGCAGTTATCGGACAATTTTCCCTTCAGTTCTTCCTCAGTTCATTCCCCATCCTCTGAATGACAATACTAAACTGTCCCCCAAAGCATAACACTGTCTTAAATATAAACAGTTCAATTTAAGACCCAAATGTTCAAAACGAAGTCAGGAGCTTTCGAAGCTTTTTAAGGGTGATTTTTCCTGGGATAAACAAGATTCAAAGAAAATTATCCAATAGGCTTTTTTTTAAAGGCCCTGAAATTTTTTCTTCATTCAATCCTGAAATCTGAAATCACTCGGCCTCAAGGTATTTTGAGGGTCAGCAGCTAATCAGTGGCTGGAAGTCAAGCCTAACTCCCAACTCCAGTTTCCCCACTGTAAAGGCAGTTCTTGCATAAGTTGATTACTACTGTCTGCTGTTAGGATGTTAGGTAAAGGGTTAATCTAAGGATAGATACTCTGCATCTACTCGCTTTCTGTAAGGAATGGGGCACAGTTCTCGGATTCTTTGTGTCCACTCCTGCTGCGGCTACTTGACAGCACAAGCTTAAAGTGGCCGCGGACTGGACGCACCCCTTGAGGGCCAGATTCCCCTCAGCGAAGGGAGGCCTCCACGTTTAGGAACTGGCCCACTGCCCCAGGCCAGGTGAACCGTGGGTAACGCGGTGAGGTAAAGCAGACAGAAAACAGGTGCCCTCAAGGCCATCGCCGCCCAGCATTTCCCAAGCCCTGGCCTCCGGGTCAAACCCTAGCCGGGATGCCGAGCCGCCGCGTGGGGCAGCGCGTAGCTGAGAGGCCATTAGCTGCGCTGCGCTGCGCTGAGCTGCGCCACGAAGGACCGGGAGGCTACGGCCAAAGAGGGGCACGCATTAGTTCCACAGCCCCGCGGGCGAGGCGGAGGCGGGGCAGGGGTCCCCCGGCCGCGGACCGTTCGGGGTCCGTCACACACATACTCACTGCCGCGGCTGCGACCAGGAAGCACCAACCAGGAACCGAAACACGTAGAGGAACGGGGAGGGGCGAGGACAAATGAGGTAAGGAAGCCGCGTCCGCGCGGACTCCAGAGAGGAGAAGGCACTTCCGGGGAAAACACAGCTCTCGGGAGCTGTTCTTCCGCCCAACCCGAGAGTCCTCCGAGCGCATGCGTAACACCTATTAACTCTTTGTTTCCCCCGCCTATAAACTTTGAGTTGGGTTTTCCGTTTTCTTCAGTCTCTCGAAAAGTATACATGCCGAAATAAATTATGGTGCACATTTTATCTTATTGAGTTATACGAAAGAGACGATACTTGCAGGGCGAAAGTGTGAGCCCACTTTCCCAGGAGCAGGAAAGAAAACTACAATTCCCATGATACTTTGGGCGGGCCGGCAGTGGCCGTCTCTTTTCTCGCTCGGGCTGACGCCCTCGTGGTAGCATGTGGCGCCCTGCGCTTCTGGAACCTCTTCGGGTGGAGGCCCGGGTTAGTAGGGGACTTGGGGTTAGTAGGCGACTTCGGAGAGGTACCCTGGAAATGCCAGCGTGAGAAAAGGCTTCTTTCGAGGGTGTCTGGCTTTTGTCCCCCCGCTAGTGTGATAGGTGACCTCACGGCTTTTCCACCCTTAGGTTGTGAACTGCACGCTGGGTTGCTTCCGCGTTTTTAACCCTTTAAGAACCTTGAAGAGCTGTAACTGCTGCAAAGCGGAGTCAGTGCTGTTCTTTCTAGTACTACGAGACTATGTTTGCTGCCTTCAGCATTGGTCACCCCTGGTCAAATCTTTAAGAGAAAAAAAGTTTCATTATGAGGTTGGAGACGTAACTCAGTAGGTAAAGTGCTTGCGTACCGTGCAGGAGGCCCTGGGGTCATTCTTCAATTTCACCACATAAGACAGGGGGAGGTGGAGCGCCATAAGTAATCCTTTTAGCATATTGTTTTACCATCTCTGTCATATTTTAACAACCGTTGAGGTTGTGTTTATTGCTTGTTCGTTTTTGAGACAGGGTTTCACTTCCAACGATCAGTCTAGCCTTGAACTCAAGTGCTGGGATTACAAATTGGTGCACCTGAACACAGCTCTGATTTTTATTGTTATTTGTGTTTGATTGTTAAGCAGGATCTCTCAAAGAGAGAGAGAGAGAAAGTATCTCTATCATGTAGTCCTGGCTGTTCTCTGTTCTGGAACTATATAGACCAGGCTGGCCTTGAACTCAGAGATCTGTCTACCTCTTCCCACTGAGTGCTGGGATTAAAGGTTTGTGCCACCATGCTCAGTAATTATTTTTATTACTAGTGTTAATCTCAACTTACCAAAAAAAAAAAAAAAGAAAGAAAGAAAAGAAATAAACAACTTGCTAAATGACAGAAGTATAGTGTGTATGACCAGCTACCTCACATTGTTGTGCCTCCCTTGGTGGACTATATCCCCTCAAAGTGGAGCCCAAAATAAATCATTCCTCCATGAGTCGCTCTTTGTAAGGAATTTGAGAAAATGAGAAAAGTAACTAATGCAGGACCATAAAGTCTGCAGTTAAAAAAAAAAAAAAAAAATCATTCTCCACCATGTGTCCAGAAATAACCCAGGAAGTAGACCTAAGCCAGTCTTTCCTCAGCTTTATAAAGGATAAGTGGCATATGTAGAAATAAGTATTGAAGCTTCTCTTGAGAAGTACATTCTTGAGAGACCATTTGAGGAAGGAAACACCTGTTTTCTCCCCAGAGCAATGATAACCTTACGTCATGTCACATAGCAACTGAATGTGAGAAGGGACACGGACAAAGCAAATACCTGCTTAAACTGTCAGGCAAAGATGGAAAGCTACAGTAGAAAGAGCCACTGTAAAGGATGTGACCCCAGGGATGTATTGTTCACTCTTATCCTCCTCAGTGCAGAGGGGTAAACCTTTCCTCCCCAACCCAGTTTATTAGTAGGTCCTAGAACTAAGTATTTACACATCTTTAAAAATGTTCTCTTAGATACAGACAGACCGATAGACTGACAGCGAGTCTCCATTGAAAAGCCCATGACCTGGATGTGCCTTATTTTTCTTGGAGCATTGCTTTCTGCTAACCCTTGAGCTTAAGTTTGTCTTTAAATTTTTTCTTTTAATAAACCTAACTCTGCTTTTTTATTTTTAATGATTTATTTGAGCTGACAAGATGGCTCAGTGAGTAAAAATGCTTGCTATGAAAACTTGAGCTCAAACTTAATTTATTTAATTATTAATTAGTTAATAAACAGCTCCCCTCACCCATCACATCTGCTTCTTTTTTCTAAGACAGGTTTTTGCTAAGTAACCCAGGCAGGCCTTGAACTCATGATTTTTCTGCCTCAGCCCCCAAGTAGCTGGGACTACAGGCTGACACCATTGAGCCAGGGTTCACCTTAACTTCCTTTTGAAAAATTCATTTTATTGAATAAAGAAAAGTGTGTGTGTGTGTGTGTGTGTGTGTGTGTGTGTGTGTGTGTGTAGAATATACATAAGTGCTGGCACCTACAGAGGCCAGAAAAGGACATCAAATTCTCTGGAGCTGGCATTACAGGCAGATGTAAGTTGCCTGATGTGAGTGCTCAGAACAGATCTCTGACTTTTCTATGCTGTGATAAACCCTATGACCGAGGCAACTTATAAAAGAAAGCATTTAATTTGGGCCTTATGATTTCAGAGGTTTATAGAGTCCATGATGACAGAGTGAAGGCAGGATGACAGGAACAGCTCAGAGCTCACGTCTCAATCTGGAAATAACAGGCAGAAAGAGAGAGAGAGAGAGAGAGAGAGAGAGAGAGAGATTGGGAATTGTGCAAGGCTTTTGAATCCTCAAAGCCTGCCCCTAGTGACACACCTCCAACAAGGCCATACCTCCTAATCCTTCTCCAACAGTTCAACAACTGGGGACCCAGTATTTAAATATAGGAACCTATGGGGCCATTCTATTCAAACTACCACAGTCTTTCCAGTGGTGTTGGTTAATCCTACTTGCAGATTAAGATAGAAGTCCTCAGCTTTCCTGCTGCCATGACTTTGCTCTGCTGTCATAGACTCTAAATCTCTGAAATTGTAAGCCTCAAATTAGATTTTTCTTAAAGAAGTTGCCTTAGTCGTGGTGTCTTGTCCCAGATCTGCAAGAGCAGCAAGCAGTCTAAGCTGCTGAGTGATCTCTCTAGCCTCATTTAACCTTAATAGTTGTTTTCAATTACTATTCATCCACTGCTAGGCAGGTGAATGAACCCTTCACTGGAGTTCATCATGTAATAAGCCTTTGTTGGACATCTCAGATTGACTGTCTTTCAGCTGCTTTTAAACGGCTCTTTAACGGGGCTATTTACCTTATTTCCCCGAGTATGAAGACCCAGACTTGGAGAGGTCAAGTGACTTGTCTATGTCACACACCTTGAAAGTAGTGAGGCTGGAGTTCAAACCCAGGCCCTGGCTGACTCAAGAACTTACACTATTTTCTCTACTGCCAAGTCTATTTCAAAACAAAACTTAGCTATGACTACAGTGACCTGCTTCTGTATCTCCACTGACAACCAACCTAAGGCCAGGCACACGGTGAGGTCATGGCTAACACTTGTGAGTAACTGAGTTCTGCATGCAGTGGTTGATAAATGAAGACACTGGCACAGGGTAAGCAACGCTATGGGGAAGCAGAGGAGAGCATAGCTGGCTGCCTAGGAAAAGTGGGAAAGTTTCACAGAGGGAGACAATTGAATGAGCCCTGAACAAGTATGTAGTCAGTCAGAAAAAGAAAATCCATCATTTCAACAGCAAAGAGCTTTGGCTGGCAACTCACAGAACAAAAAATCCAAAAGGTCGTGGAGCATATATGACAAGAGCATCACTGGCAATCAGAAAAGTGAGATTACATGCAGTACATGGGAATAAAAACTGAAGACATGTTTTGAAAAAAGCTATTTGGTAATATTTGTCTAAATGATAGGTGAACTATTTTCCTGATTTTTAGATTTATGGTATAGGGGTAAAAGCAGTATGTTTATTTTTCCCAAATAATGTGTTTGTGACTCTGTCACAAAATATTGCAATTTTTTTTAAGCTGGGTGATGGCACATGTCTTTAATCTCAGCACTTGGGGGCAGAGGCAGGCAGATCTCTGAGTTTGAGGCCAACCTGGTCTACAGAATAAGGTCTAAGACAGCCAAAGCTACATAGAAAGACCCTGTCAAAAAAAAAAAAAAGCAAAATAAAATATTTTTTATTTTAGTAATAATGGAAATTATTAATAATTATTATAATTGTTATTAATAATAAGGGACAAAATACCTATAATACATCCATACCATTGAAATGACAACAACAAACCCCATGCTGCCTTTAAAAGAGATGAATCTACATTGTAGAGATCATAAGATCCAAGACATACAGTTAAATGGATAAAGGGGCAAATTGCAGAGACAAAGTCCTTTATGTACTTATTTTTATTTTTATTTTTTTTTAAGATACGTGTGTGTGCAAATACAGGCTTCAATGTATATGACTGTGTGGAGAAAATGCAGTATAGATTTCCTTTGAATCATAGTGATTATCTTCCTCTTAGTGGAAGGGAAAATAGAAGTGAGGGATAAATGATTTCACTAAAGAGAGAGAGAGATCCAGTGAGTTTCCATCGTCATTTCTGTGATATTCCCACCAAAAGTGCATTGTTTAAATATAGTCTTGAGACGAAGGTCAAACACTCCACTCTCTTCGTAAGGCTCAGTGTCTGTCAGTGCTGGGAAGGCGGCCCACTCAGAGTGTTCGCCCAGCAAATGTAAGAGGCCCTAGGTTCCATCGCAGGCTTGGGAGGAGAAAGAAAGGCAGGGATGGGGAAGAAACCAAAGGAAGAGGATGAAGGAGATGGAAAGAAGAGAGGATCAAAGCGTTGATGTCATGAGGCAGAGACTGGGGAGCTGTGCTACATGAAAGCAGCCGAAAGACAGGATAAATAAACAACTATCCCGTGATCTGGGGTTTTCTTTTGCTATAAACAGGACATTGGAGCAGTTAGCAACATTTAAGCTGACAGTACAGAATCCATGTTGTTCTTCTGGTGTTCATATTTGTGTTCTAAGGTATAAGATGC